GAAGAAGACGAGGGCGAGGACGAAGACAACGACGACCACGACGACGACGACGACGAAGACGAGGACTAGGACGAAGATGACGACGACGACGACCACGAAGACGACGAAGACGACGACGACCACAACGACGACAACGACAACGACGAAGACGAAGACGATGACGACAACGACGACGACGACGACGACGACGACGACGAGGACACAACGACGGCGTCGAAGACGACAACTAAGAAAACGATTACGACGACAACAGCGACAAATCACGACTTCTGAACCTCTACACCACAGCACCACACCACACCCACAGGGTGGGGGGAGGGGGCACCGCAGCACTACACCATACCCACAAGGTGGAGGGAGGGGGCACCGCAGCGCACAGCACACCCACTGAGGGGAGGAGGGGGGGACATCGGTAGAGGGAGGGGAACTGGCATTGAGGGGGGAGGGGAGGGCCTTGACCCAGAGTTATCAATGCCTTCTGCGGAAGAGAGGAGGAGGGAGGGAGGAGGAGAGGGGAGTTCGAGGAGTTGGACGTGGACAGCAATTATATGAGGGTTCTCCTGTTCGTTTCCTGTAGGATTCGGCGGCATCAAGATGGTTCCAACATCGCCCGATATAGCCCCATGTGGACACTGAATATGCCCAACCAAGGCGCCGCACCGCTAATGTTCCCAGAAGTACGATCTGGCCGGGCAAGTAAGAGGAAGAAAGGAATGAGGAGCAAGCGGACGACGACGGATGCGCGGATGGGAAGCCAGGGCCAGCGGGAAGAGGCAGGCGGGCGGGCAGGCGGGAAGAAACAAAAAAGAGACACCGAGCAACGAGGCAGGGAGCAGGGGCGAAAGGGGGGAGAGAGGAGGAGCAGGAGGGAAGCAGGAGAACCAACGGCAAGCAGACGCGCTGGGCCAGAGGCCGGGAGAGAGGCGCCGCCCGCGACGAGGACACGAAGGCGGCGACACCGAGCAGCCGGCACCGCAGGCGAAGAGATGGAGCGGGTTGCCGTCGGAGTTGTCGGAGGGGGGTGGTCGGCGGCTTCCTCGGGGTGTCTGGGGTCGTCGGGCTGTCGGGGCCGTCGTGGGGAAAGTGGCCGTCCACGCTGACCTGGGGCGGGCTGCCGCGCTGTGGATCGGCAGCGGCCGAGCGGGCCGTGGCCACCCACGCGCCTCCAGGCTGCGCCCGAAGGGCCGCAAAAACGAGCAGGGAGACCAGGGGGGTGAAGAGCCTCTGGGCGAGTTGGTTCGCTACCCGCGCGGCGTCCTCCCCCGTGCCGCGGGGCCGCAAGCTCTGCCACTGCGCGCCTCGCGGCCCCCACCCGCCGCCGTGAGGCTTCCCCTTCCACCACCGTGGGGCGGAAGGCAAAGCCCGGCTCTCCGCGCACCGCCGCACGGCATCCTGGCTCCGCTCCGTCAGCGCACTGGGCAAGGCAGCTGACGAGAGGCCCAGGCAGCGGCCGTGCTGCTGCGCCACGGTAGCAAGAAGACGTCGGCATCGCGGCGGTCGACAAGGTATCCTCAGCAAACGTCTCGACACCTCCGAAAGGTGCCAAAGATTTCCAGACACCGCCGAAGACATTCCATTTCTCGTTTCTGGTGTTACTTGTTCTCTCTCTCTCTCTCTCTTTCGCTTTCTCTCTCTCTCTCTCTTGTTCTCTCTCTCTCTCTCTCTCTCGCTCTCTCGCTCTCTCTCTCTCTCTCTCCCTGCAGCCCATCGGAGGCAGAGCGAGACCTCCAGCTGCTCCGCCCTCCAGCCCCAGAGCGGCCCAAGAGAGGCACGAGAGGGGGTACCCGCGGGGACCACTGGAGCCTTCCCCCACACGAGGCCCCCGAGACCCCCAGCATGTCCCCAAGGGGGCCCCAAGAAGTCGCAGGGAGCCTTGAAAAAGCTTCAAGGGGCCGCCCCCTATGCCGTCAAGAGGCCCCAAAGAAGCCCCACAACAGACGCGGAGGAAGAGGAGGACGACTCAGAAACAACTACGCGCAGGCAGCGCGACGAGAAGTGGCAAACGACACACACACACACACACACACGAAATCGAAGTCGCACATACCCTCTTCTGGGGGTTGGCGGAATGGCGTAAGTCTCTTGAGCAACACATCCTCCTCATCATCCTTCTTGCGTTGGGGAAAACTTGGGTCAACATTGTAGCGTTCGTCCTCCTCCTCCTCCTCCTCCTGGTCCTTCTCCTAATCCTCCGCCTCCTCCTCCTCCTCCTCCTACTCCGCCTCCTCCTCCTCCTCCTCCTCTGCCTCCTCCTCCTCCGCCTCCTCCTCCTCCTCAAATCCCTCCGTCTATCCCTCCCTCCATCCCCCATCCAGATCCCCACTTCCCTGCATCTCCCCAACCATTGCAACGCAGAGAGGACACAGCGGGGCCTCCAGCTGCTCCGCCGCCCTCCTCAACCACAGCACCGCCTGGCGGGACGACAAAACGAGGAGGGGCAACCGCTGCCTCCTCCGAGGAATCACGGCCTGGTGCCAGGAAAGGGTGAGGGAGAAGGAGGAGGAGGAGGAGGAGGAAGAGGACGACGAGGATTAGGATGAGGATGAGGATGAGAGGATGAGGATGAGGATGAGGTTGAGGATGAGGATGAGGATGAGGATGAGGTTGAGGATGAGGATGAGGATGAGGATGAGGATGAGGATGAGGTTGAGGATGAGGATGAGGATGAGGATGAGGATGAGGATGAGGATGAGGATGAGGATGAGGATGAGGATGAGGATGAGGATGAGGATGAGGATGAGGATGAGGATGATGATGATGATGATGATGAGGATGAGGATGAGGATGAGGAGAGGATGAGGATGAGGATGAGGATGAGGATGAGGATGAGGATGAGGATGAGGATGAGGATGAGGATGAGGATGAGGATGAGGATGAGGATGAGGATGAGGATGAGGATGAGGATGAGGATGAGGATGAGGATGAGGATGAGGATGAGGATGAGGATGAGGATGAGGAGGAGTAGGAGGAGGAGGAGGAGCAGCAGCAGCAGCAGGACGAGGATGAGAAGGAGGAGGGGGGGGCGGAGGAAGAGGAGGAAGACGAGGAGGAGGACGAGGAAGAGGACGAGGAGGAGGACAAGGAGGAAGGAAAGGAGGGAGGGAGGGAAGGAGGGAGGGAAGGAGGGACGGAGGGACGGAGGAAAGGAAGAGAGAGAGAGAGTAAGAGCAGGAGGAGCCCGGCCCCGGGGGTGCCTGATCAGGATTCCCGCCCGAGTGCATACGCCCCTGCCAGCCCCAGGGGGCGAGGTCGCGGTCGCCAACCCCTTCTCCACACTTACACCTACCAACTACACTTCCCATGGTGGTTGCAACGAACAACGACATCAACAACAACAGCAGCAGCAGCTACAACAACAACAGCAACAACAGCAACAGCAACAGCAACAGCAGCAACAACAACAACAACAAGAACAGCAACAACAACATGAAACAACACAACAACGACATCAACAACCACAACAACAACAACAACAACAACAACAACAACAACAACAACAATAACCACAACCACAACCACAACCACAACCACAACCACAACAACAACAACAACAACAACCACAACAACAACAACAACAACAACAACAACAACAACAACAACAACAACAACAACAACAGCAACAGCAACAGCAACAGCAACAACAACAACAACAAGAAGGCCGACATCGAAGAAAAAGACGACGACGACGACGATGAGACGACGACGACGACGAGGCTCGGAGGAGAAGCCAAGTCCTGAGCGTCGTCCTGCTGGAGGCCCTGGCTGCCGTTCGCGAGCGCCAGCCTGGCTCCGCTCTCCGGGCGCTCCGCCGCCTCCGTCTGCCCCAACCCCCACGCCGCTGCGAAGCAACGGGAGACAAAGATGAAAGAGGAGTGAGAGAAGAGCGGAGGCAGAATAGGGGATCAAAGAATGACACGAGCATGATCTTCACTTTGGGAGGTCCGCGCGGACTTCTCAGGTCGGCGCTGGACCCCCCATGCCTGGCCCTGGCGCGCAGAGCGCACCAGGGCGCTCCAGCGCCGATCCGAGCGTGTGTCATTTTGCTGCTTCCCGATACGAGGAGGGGGAGGGAGAGGAACGCTCGGCAGCAATCTGCAGAGCACGACGGGCCATAACGGGAGACGGCGAGGGCGTGGACGAGTGCAGCGGGACATGCCCCGAGGCGTGGCGCACTGGGGCGGAGGTGCCATGCGCCCCAGGCCGGTGGCGCTGGGGCTGCACGCGCAGACCTGCCGCCGCGCACTCCGCGAGAGGACTGGGTCGCGAGAGGGTGTGGTGAGCCGCGCCCGCCTCCTCGTCCGCGGGCCCCGCCACAGGGGGGAGAGGACGAGAAGGGAGGTAGGAGTGACGAGGGAGGGAGGGGGGAAGGGTCGAGCGGGGGGAGGGGGGGGGGGACAAGCCAGGGGTTCGGTTGCCCTTCTTCTTCGGTGGCGCACAGCCACGGCGTTGTTACGAGAGCTTTCCAGACCGATTCGGGGAACACTCGTTCCGAAGGACTGGCAAGGATCTGACCCAACCTTCGGCCAGCAGGCCCCAAGACGCCTCCAAAAGCTCACAAGAGCCCCCAAGGGGCCCCGAACAAGCCCATTCCTCACTCTCTTCCTCTTCCCAGTCCTCCCCCACGTGTTCCCCGAAGGCTTTCCAAACCGATTCATGGTCCGATAGCTTGGCAGGGCTCTGGCCTCAACGTTCGGCCACATAGGCGCTTCCGAAAGGGCAGGGGGCGGCGGAGACTCGCCGTAGGCGTTAACATACGAAAACACGCGTCTGGTTTCGGCATGTACGAATACGAAATTCGCGTCCGCCTTCTGAATATAAATATGTGTGTACACAAAAAGGGAGAGCATATGAGAGGTAGATCTTCGTATCTGTATACGTAGGTACATACACGCATACAAATGTATACTATGTACACACACGCGTATGGCTGCAACAAAAAAACTCGCATCTGGCTTCGGCACGCCATCGCCGGCAACAGCGCGGCCCCAGGTTCTTCTGCGCCATGGCGAAGCCCGTCTCGGCGGCCGCCTTCAGCCACTTGCAGGACTGAGAGCCGCGTCTTCCGAGCCGTCCTCCTGGTCGTCGTCGTCGTTGTTGTCGCCGTCCTCCTCCTGTTCGAGGAGACAGGCTGGACGAGCGAGGATGACGACCACGACGAGGGAGAACGACGACGACGACGACCACGATGATGACGAGGAAGGGAGGGACGGGAACGACGACGGCGACCACCATGATCACGATGATTCGAGGATATTCAGGTTTCCATTAAGGATAATGGAGTAGGGGGGACTTCCTGGAAGAGGCTAATCGTCCCCCCCCTCCCTCTTAATCCTGGTCCTCTCCCTCCTTGTCCTTCTTTTAAGGGCCCGTCCGTGCGCGCATGCGGGTCTTGCAGAAGATGCGAGGGCACTGCGTCTGGTGCGCTGCGTCGTGGTGCGCTGCCGTCCGCCTGGACCCTGAAGCCTGCAAAAAACCCGAGTGAGCGCGCGTGGCAGGCATGGGCCCCAGAACGATGATGACAGGAACGAGCACGACGAACTATCCCAGTTGCCATACCTCGTGCCAGTGCGAACCTGGCCAGACTGAGGGGAGGGGAGCCATACCCATCAATCGGAAGAAGCAGGCAGAACCATGAAGCAGGAAGGCGCTGGAAGTAGATTGGGCTTCCGCCCGCCTCCTGCAGAGGAGGGAAGAGGGCAAACTACTCGACTCTTGAAGTAGGAAGGCGGCTAAAGTAGATTGGGCAGTGGGAACCCAAAAATACCTACTTTAAACGACCGATGGGTACCCGAGGGCTTGGTCGGGCATGTCCCCCTAGAGGCGGAGCTTGGACGAAAAATTAGGAATACTCGAAAAATATTCCAAAAATACGGAAAACATACTCCAAAAATCGTCCTCATATAATTTTTTGACTGTTCTTGAATATTCCAGAAGCACGCCGTGCTGGTGAGGGCGATCCCCCGCGAGGGCCCCTCCTGTGCGCGCCGCCGCCCTGCCGGGGCTTCTTCGGCGCACGCTGTGCCCGAGGCGGGGGGCAGCGAGTACTTTAGTAGTGGAAACAATTGGTTTTCAAAATGTTTGGTTTTTAGAAGCTCTGCGTGGCGACGCCCCCGTCGCCACGCGTGCCCTCTGCGTGCCTGCGGGGGCGCCGCCACGTAGTAGCACTGGAGACCGAACGGTTGGGGCGTCGCTACGCGCGCCCTCTGCGTGGCTGCGACCATTTACTAAAACCCTAAAACCAATTAAATTCACTAACAAAGTTCAAAAGCGGGCCGGCGAAGCACGAGATTTGGACGCCAGCTCTCCGACGCCAACCGCAGGGTGCTGCGGAGCTCCGCCGGCCGATCGCTCCGGCGCTGCCAGCCACCGGCGGTCTGCGCCGCACGGCGGCGGAGGGGGAGCAGGGGGGCGAGGTGCTCCCCCCCCCCCCCTCCCTCCCTCCCTCGCCCCCTCCCTCCCGCCCTCCCTCCCTCCCTCCCTCCCCCCCTCCCTCCTTCCCTCCCTCCTCCCTCCTCCCTCCTCCCTCCTCCCTCCTCCCTCCCTCCTCCCTCCCCCCTTCTCCCTCCCCCCAAGCAGACGGCGGCGGACGCGCCAGCGGGAGGCCAGGGCCGACGGGACGAGGCGGGCGGGCGGGCGGGCGGGAGGGGACAGGGGGGAGGCGGCGAGCAGGGAGCAGGGGAGGAGAAGGCCAGAGGGAGCAGGAGGGACGGAAGACAAGGATCGGGGGCGCGCAAACACGGATGAGCGATCCATGGATTTCGCGCGCGGTCGCCAAATCCACGGATCGGGGGAGGTGACATCCCCCAAAATGCGGCCGGCGCGGCCTCGCTCGGCGGCGGCAATCTGCAATTTCCCATGGAAACGAGACCCGTCGCTAATCCACGCCCCCTGGATCCATGTTTGCGATCGCCTGAAATGAAGGGGAGGGGAGCAGAGGCGAGCGGAAGGGCCAGGGCAGGGGCCGGAAGGGAGAGGGGCCACTGGGGACGAGGCTGCGGAACACCGCGGCGGCGACACCGACCAGGTGGCACGGGCGAAGGGGAAGTGCTAGGGTGCGGGCGGCTCGGAGGGAGGGGGGAGGGAGGGAGGGGGGGAGGGGGGAGGGAAGGGTACGAGGAGGAATTGAGGGGTGGAGGGGTGGACGGAGGGGTCGAGCGATGGAGGGACGGAGGGATGCCAGGGGGAGGAGGGAAGAGGGAGGAGGGAGGAGGGAGGAGGGGGTAGTAGGAATGGGAGGAGCAAGGAGGGAGGAGGGGGCAGGAGGGAGGAGGGAGGAGGGAAGAGAGAAGGTGGAGGAGGGAGGAGGGAGGAGGGAGTAGGTGATAGCGATGATAGCAGGGATGGGACTAGGAAGGGGGCCGGGGGAGGGGGAAAGGGAGCAGAGAGGGGAGGCGCAGAGAAAAGGCATGGTGTGCCGCGCGGCAGTAACAATCAAAGCTGATAGTATGGATGCGCGAGAAGTGTGCAAGCCCCTTGGACGCACATGTCGAGGTCTTTTCGAGCGAGGCAGGCCATCGAAAGTAGTCAAGGATGGACCATGGAGGCACGGATGCAAGGGCACCCTTGGGAAGGTTACCCGTCTGTGCCGTCGGTTTCGACTGTGATGGAAGTCTCTGGACCTCCTCCTGGCCCTCCTCCGTTCCAGAAGCGCCTTCACCAGCCCACGGCGCAAAGGAAGCCGGGCCTTCTCCAGGTCGTCCGCGACCCCCGCCCTCTCGTGCACGCGCCTGTAAACGAGGCCCAGGTTGTTCATGGCGAAGTGGTGCCCCAGGGCAGCGCTGCGCTCGTACAGCTCGATGGCCTCGAGGGGAGGGGAGGGGAGGCAGACCCCACTGAAAGCCAAAAACTATTGCTGAACAAATGATTTCAGCGAATGCTTGCTATCAGGGCAGCGCTGCGCTCGTACAGCTGTGGAGGCAGATCCCACCATTGGAAGCGTGGAAATGAGCACCGACACCAAAGCCCGGGAGGGGTGCGTCCACGGGGTGGGGTAATCCTAGAGTTCGGTGGGGTGGGGGAGGGGAGGGGAGGTGGGGAGGAGAGAAAAGAGGGAAAAAAGGGGATACATCAGGTGTCCAGTCGTGTTCATCGTGCGCTGAAGGACCACTTTTGCGGTGTCCCCGCTTTTTGTTGGCATGTGCCGATTTCTGTTGTTTGTGTGACTCCCTTCGTTGTTTGCTCTTCTAAATTCTTGGTGGTAACCTTTCGGCCACCCGAGAAGCCTAACATTACCACCATCACCGAATTCGGGATGAACCTCCCCCGGTGGAGGCATACCGCCGATATGGCTGCTTGTGCCAACCTCCGGGCCTCGAACACCAGCCTTCTGGTCGGAGATTTGTTTGGGGGGCGATGAGAGCGGGCGTGAGGACTAAACAGCACACGTGCGGGGCGCGGGAGAGAAATGGTTGCACTCGAAAGCAGCTCTTCTCCTCGCCTGGCGTGCGAAAAAGAGGCACGCCACACCAGGGAGAGAGGAGGGAGGAGAGGGAGAGGAGGAAGACGAGGAGGGTGCTCTCGGGGCGGAGGCGGTAAAGTGAGGCCCCACGAGGGCGCTGAAAGCTCCCAAAATGGCCCCAAGAGGGTTCTCAGCGAGCTCCAACAGGCTTCCAAGAGGCTCTTAGAGCGAAAGGCCTGCGAAAGCCGTCATGGTTGACTCTTGCGGTGATCGTTTTCCTCCTCCTCCTCCTCCTCCTCCTCCTCCTCCTCCTCCTCCTCCTCCTCTCTCCTCCTCCTCCTCCTCCTCTCCTCCTCCTCCTCCTCTCCTCCTCCTCCTCCTCCTCCTCCCTCATCATCCTCATCTCCTCATCCTCTCCTCCTCCTCCTCCTCCTCCTCCTCCTCCTCCTCCTCCTCCTCCTCCTCCTCCTCCTCCTCCTCCTCCTCCTCCTCCTCGTCCAACTCCTCGTCTTCGTCCTCGTCCTCCTCGTCGTCCTCCTCCTCTTCCTTCTTCTCCATCGGCCTATCCCAGCCTTCTGCGGCGGTGGCGTCCGAAGCGTATTTCGCGTGCGTGAGAAGACCATGAGTCTTTGAGGCAGCTGCGCGAGCGACATCGCACCGCCCAGCCGAACGCCCGCAAAAGCATGTGCAGAAAGTGACGCTGCTCCCCTTCCCCCTTTTTCTCCTTGCTTTCCCCCCCCTGCTCTTCCTTTTCCTTATATTTTTCCCTCTTCCCCTCCTCCTCCTCCTCCTCCTCTCGTTTCTGCGTTAGGCAATCATGAGCATCGTGGCTGGTGCGTTCATGTGGCAAGAGATCAGACTTACTTTTTTGGTCGGCGGCTCCCAGGCGACGGTCCAGGAGCGAAAGCGGCGTCCGGGTGGCGGAACGGGGCGAATTTGCGAACAGAGCCGCCAGTGTCGGCGGACAAGCTCGCACCCATCGAGATCAGACTTACGCAAAGCGTCAAAGCGTGAGTTCGTCAGATAGCTCGTGCGGGATAAGAAGTGCAGAGGGAATGCAATAACAGCAAAGCGACGCAGAAGTGCACAAAGTAAGGGACAAGGGAGCAGCAAAACCATAAACGATATCGCACCATACTAAGAGAGAGTACGCCCGACAGGGGAGATCGAGATATGCGCGTGCAAACTGAAAGCGTTGTGAAAAAAAGATGGCCCACTTGTTTTTCAGCTGTGTGCTACCCTGTGGTGGTACGAAACACTAGGATATGAGGCAACGGTGCAAGAGCTTGGGACAAGCGCAGTAACAGAGTCTTCCAACGCCACCTCTCAGACCTCTCTCAAGTATATTCAAGGCTAGCGTGATGCAACTGCTGGCCTATTGGCCTTAACAGTGGGGCAGGCAGGCTTGAAAGCGAAGTAAGGCAAGCCAAACCGCTCATTGTAGGTGTAGCGTGTAGGCTGGCACAGTCTGTACTGGCTGACCTGCGGCGCAACGTTAAACCGAAATTCGGCTTGGCATTGAACAATGAACGGCGTTGTGGTGGAAAATGTGCTCTTGTGCATTTGAGATGGCATTGAACGGCACTGGGCAGGTAAACAACTGAGGTGTCAATGGGCTGGCGCAGTGGGTACTGGCTGGCCTGTGCTGCTCTCGGCAATGCGAATAAATTGCAAGAGCGCTGGTCTGGTTTGAGGGCAAGGCCGGCACAGGAACGGCTGGCCTGTATGGCTTTACTGCATTCTGGATGCTGATACTAACCAACAGGGCCAGAGTCGGAGACTGGAACATATCAGAGAATGCGAGCGCGGACGGAACTTCCGCTTGCCCCCACCCCACCCCACAAACCGTCCGAACCCCCACCCCCTCAGAGAATGGAGGCCGCCTGCTTGTTTCACCGCATCTTGAGCAGGGAGCGTGGTGAGGCAGAGAACTGCAGGTCGAAGAGCGTGTAGCACGCTCCCGACCGCAGGGGAGCACCACCGGCGGCCGTGGGTGCGGCCCGAGAGCACATGGAGCACCGGGCACGGCAAGGTAAACCCACGGGCTGCGCAGCAGGCGTCCGAGCATCGCCCCCTCCCACCCAGAACTCACCCCCACACCCCCCGAGGAGGAGGAGGAGGAGGAGGAGGAGGAGGAGGAGGAGGAGGAGGAGGAGAGAGGAGAAGGAGGAGGAGGAGGAGGAGGAGGAGGGGGAGGAGCCCTCCCCACCCCGGGCCAAGATGTCAGGCCTGATGCACGCCTGGGGCCTGGGACCGGCGAGCGCTGCTCGACCGACCGCAGCAGGGGGGCCGGCGACCTGCCCCCTGCCGAGGGCCAGGAGGGCCCGTGGAGCATCGCGTCGGGCCGACTTGGGCGACATGGATCGAGGTATGGTGTTGGCTGGAGGGCACTACGGCGGCACGTGTAAGAGATTCGGCAGAAGCGCAAGATCTTAAATAGGAGGAGGAGGAGGAGGAGGAGGAGGAGGAGGAGGAGGAGGAGGAGGACGAGGAGGAGGAGGAGGAGGAGGAGGAGGAGAGCAGGCTGAGGCTGGCCTGTGTTGACTGGCCCATCTGGCGGCGGGTTGCACTCTCGGGGCCCAGAGCGAAGCGTCCGCCCCCGTGCCCCCGAGGGCACGGGGTGGGCGTGTCCTCGGGCCCTCTGCCCGGTCCTCGAGGCCCCGGCCCTCCCTCCCGAGGCGTCTTTCTAGGGAGCGTCCGGGCCTCTCAACGTCCGAGACGTCGGCGGGCCTTGGCGCGTGCCCCCGGTGGATGTCGGGGAGGTGGTGGCGCGGGAGCTGCTCGGGCCCCACGGGGGCCCCAAGACGGGCTCACGAGGGCCCCGAGAGGCCCCCCAGGACGATCCAGGAGGGCCCCGAGTCGCCGAACGATCGCTTCAGGACGCTCGGTATGGCCCCCAGACGGCCCAGGAGGCCTCCAAGACGCCCAAGGAAGCCTCCAAGAGACCTCCCAAGAGGGCCCCAAGAGGCCAAAATCATTGATTGTCCTTCCGTTTTTGAAGGATTTGGGCGTTATCGCCTTTTCGGCTTCCCGACGCTCCGAGACGGCCCTAGAGGCCCACAAGGCCGCCCCAAGACGGCCCAAGAAGGCCCCAAGACGACCCAAGAGGTGCCCAAAACGGCCCCAGTGGGCCCCAAGACGGCCTCAAAAGGGGCCCAAGAGAGGGAACACGAGCCGAAAATCCTAGCCTGCCGGCCCAAGAGGCCCGCAGGAGGCCCCAAGAGGCGCCCGGGAGGCCCCACGAGGCCCCCAAGAGGACCCAAGAGGCCACCACGAGACGCAGAAGAGGCCCCAAGAGGCCCCGAAACGGCCCCCAAGAGGCGTCCGTACTGCCTCCGAGAGGCCCCCGAGAGGCCTCCCACGGGATCCCACCGAACACCCCAGTGGGCTTCATACCCGCAACCCAGGCACGGTGACGGGATCGGCCGAAGGCCAGCAGGTAAAAGACTGCGCTGCTGCTGCTGCTGTTGGAGGGCTGGGCACGTGTGGGCTGGCACAGGCTGGGCTGGCCGGCCTGTTGTACACCCCGCGAAATGCTTAAGAAATCATGGGTTAAGAAATTCATAGTCTCAGAACTTGAACAAAAACCCAACATTTCTATCAAAATCTTAAGGTTCACATTGAAACGTTAAGAATAATCGAGACTCTGGCCGAAAACTTGGGTTTTCTTAAGCATCGCCTAAGGTGTACAAGCGGATCGGTTGGGCATCTGGCCCTGTGACAGTCCTCCTCCAGCCTCCCAAGTGGCCCCTCCACCAGATCCCGAGTGGCAGTACGTAGTCTTGGTCAAAGCCTGGCCTCGCCTTGAAACAGCGCCTGCTGTCAAGGAGGAAGCGACAGCAACGACACAAAAAATGTAGAAAAGCTGAGTGACGGTACGGTGGGGGCGGAGGGGTGCAAAATAACGTGCGAAGCGCCTTGACTCACTCTGCCCTAAATCCGCCTGGCGGCGGTGGTGCAGCGGGCGATGCACCATGGAACAACCTGATGGCAATGCGATGTATTCCCACCCATCCCCCTATCCCCGAATACCCCGTCCCCCGATCGACAAAAAGAGTGAAGAGGTTCAGGGAAAAAGGGAGAGCTTGCTGGCACTGTGATGTGGGAACGGCGCTACAGCAGTGCCACGGGTGGTTTGGGGTCCTCGGGGTACCAGGAAGGCCCACGCAGAAAGACCCGTGTGGGGGGTGGGGGGGGCGATATGTCCTGTGTGCTGTATACACGGGTAGATGACGGGCACGTTGAGTCTAGGTGGTGGTAGTGGCGCTGGTATCGTTATAATTGGGTGTTGGTGGCGGTGCAGCTTCGTTATCGGTCTGTGGCGTCGTCGCGGATGTTGTATCGTGGGCATGTGTCTTCCTCTGTTCGGTGGCATCGATGTGCGGCGGGTGCTGGTGCTGCTTCCAGTGGAAGTCGAGTGTGAGCTGCTGTCAGTGTCCAGTGGATAGTTGTGTGTCAGGGTGCCATGTGGACAACTGAGTTCAAATAAGAGTGCTCCTGTGCGGGGTAGGTCGTGAGTCCAGGTGGCACCCAGGATGTTGAAGATCCATTGGGATACTAAAATGAGAGCCGTGGACCAGTGCTGGTGTGGTGTCTGAACGTGCGGCTGCAGGGTCTTATCGTGGATGTGCCGGTTGGCTATTGCCACGCAAAGTCGGAAGTCTTCGTCAATGTCGTATGTTGCTTGTAGTGCGTCTAAGCTGTTGCCGGCTGTGGGCTTGCTATTGTCTCCTCTTTGTGGGGTTGGTGGAGGTGGTAGTTGGTCTGCTGGTCGTGCGTCTGTCATGATTCATGATCGTAAGCGGTGGCAAGGGGTTGTTGGCAGTGCTTTAGTAGCTGGTCTGTGGAATTGCGTGTGACTGCGGTCGTAGTGATGAGTGTGGCAGTGAGTGGGGTACCAATTCGCTGGTGAACTATTCGCTGCTGTGTCCTCCTCTCCGCCCTCTCCTCCTCCCCATTTTTGCGCTGGGCGGACTCGGGCGACGAAGCTGAAGCGTCTGTCTTCCTCCCCCTCCTCCTCCCCCTCCTCCTCCTCCTCCTCCTCCTCCTCCTCCTCCTCGCGTCTCCTCCCCCAGCATGATGGCTGTGTGCTTTCCCCCGATGAATTTCTCTGGCCCGGGGGCTCCCACTCCTTCGCCTCCTGACCCAAGTCAGACCTCCAGTGCGCTGTCGCTTGCGCAGCTGCCTCAAAAATTCCTGATCTTCTCCCCCACGCGAAACACGCTTCCATCGCCGCCGCCGCAGAAGGATGGGATAGGCTGAGGGAGGAGGAGGCGGAGGAGGAGGGGGACGAGGACGATCACGAGGACGAGGACGCCTTGTCCAGGTCCAGCCGCTTCCCGAAGGTACCGAACTCGTAGCTCTGCGCCAGGTGGTAGAGTCCGTCTGGGTCGCCCTCGTCGGGGGAGGCGCAGCGGGCGGCGCAGCAGCAGCATCAGCACGCCCCTCCCCTCGGAACGGGAGGAGGGGAGGGGCCCCGAGAGAAGCGGGTCCTCTGGCCCTGGGGCTATCCCCGTGACTGGCTGCAGATCCGCGGGTCATGCCTGGCCGTCCCGGAGCCCAGGAGGGATCCTGGGACGCCGAATCGGGCCCCCTTTTCCCTCGGGGCCCCCTCTTGGCAGTGCCCTCCTCCCCCGCTTCAGGCGTGGCACAACCCAGCTCAGCGCAAACCCGGCTCAGTCAGCTTCCTGCAACAGACACTGACCTGCAAGTCCGGGGTGCGCTTCCCAAGTCCAGCTCAGCGAATATGTCAGGCCTCCTCCGAGGCCGCGAGCAGCGCCCAAGCCTCGGGTGCTGCTAGAAGTGCCCTGGCCCAGAGTGCCCCCAGCTTGTCGCTCCAGTTTGGAGCCCCTGGGACCCTCTGGGCCTCGTGAGGGGTGCTCTGGAGGCCGTGGGGGGGCGGCCTTGGAAATCCTGGGAGTACCGTGGACCAGGGGCACTTCTGGCAACACCCGACCCGATGTCAAGAGATCCGTCAGGCCCGGGAGGCGCAGGCCAGAGACGGGGCGGAGGCGGCTCGTCCACGACGTCGTGATCATTTGCCTCAGACTCTGCTCGAGCGCACTCTCGGACCTGACCTCGCACTGCCGCGCCCTGCGCAGCCGGCACCTCCTCCCCGGCGGGCCCGACGCGTGGTGCGGCCTATGGCCCGCGAACGCACGAGCGCGATGCTCTCACGACGCCGGGTGCCTGCCTGCATGGGACAGGGGGGGGCCCGGCCCTCCGTGCCGCGGCCCCGCGCGGTCTGTGGCGGGCACCGCCGAGCACTCCCCGCGGCGCGCTCCCCCCCCCCGGAACCTCGAGGCGCTCCCGGGGGCGCAGAGGGCCGCTGGGGCCGCGAGCGCGCCCAGGTGCCCAAGGGCTGCTCCCAGAAGCCTCGGCCGCGGCCGCGCCGGAGGGGGCCGGCGCCCCCCTCCCGTCCCTGGAAGGGGCCCAGGGAGGCACCAACAGAGAGACACATATATTCCAGGGTTCCCCCCCTCTGTCGTGCTCTGGGGCTGTGCCGCTCGTCCCCTCCAATTTGAGAGATCGTTCCCCGGGCTTTCCTGGAGATCGGCGTCTGTCTTAGTCGTGTCTGGGTGGACGTGGTCCCTCCTACGGAGCGTGCCCCGAGGGGCTGACGAGCCGCGCGCGTTCGCCGCAGGGCTCCCTCCCTCCCCTGGCCGTGGGGGGGAGGACGGGGTCGGGTCGGGACGCTTCGGGCCCTCGAGGCCCAACAGCGTGCCTGAGAGGAGGGTCGGGTCGGGTCAGGGCAGAAGGCCGCGAGAGCTCCTCGGTGAGAGGACAGCTTCTCGAGGGGGTGGAGCTGGCAGGTGGCGACCTCCGAACCCTGCCCCCCCCCCCCCCCGACCATCGACTCTCCTGAGTCGATGGGGTGCGGGATGTAGGGTTCGGACTTCGCCACGTGCTCGACGAGCTCCGAGCCCGAACCCCCGCCGCCCCGCGAGCTGCCTGCACCGTTGATCGGCGAGGGCAGGACTAGAGGACTTCGCCGCCGAGCTGACGCGGGAGGAAAGGGGGGGAGCGGGGGCACCAGTGGCCACACCACCAGAGGGCGGCAAGGGGGGAGGGGCGGCCGAGGAAGAGCCGTCATCACTGCTGGGCCCTCGGTGCTCGGGCGCCGGGTGTCCGGGCAGCGGGCCACGAGGCCCGCGGAGCCCAATCCCGCGCCGCGCTCTGAGAGGAGCGAGGAGCCTGGAGGCCTTCACGCCCTCGAGTCGCTCTGCGGTTCGGGAGGGCTTTTCCGACGGAGGCCGCGAAGCGCAAGGCGCATGTGGCTTCGCACCCGTGCGGGTGACCTACTTGAAGAGCGGGGGATGGGGAGGGAAGGAGAATGGGGCGGATGGCGGAGGATGGAGGCTGGAGGATGGAGGATCAAGGGTGGAGGATGGACGATGGATGGAGGATGGATGGCGGAGGGCGGAGGAAGGACAAGAGAGGATAGAGGATGGAGGACGAGGGGAAACAAGGGAGGACAAGGCCGGACGTAGGAGGAGCAACAGCCGCAGCAGGAGCAGGAACGGCAGGCGGGGCAAATGATCCGTCAGGTAACAACCACCTGCCGCCCCTGCGGACCTCGGATCCGTCTTGACGCATCCGATCCCCAGGGATGAAGACGGACAACCAGCCAACAGTCATCCGACCCCACCAGGCTCCCAGACCTCGCAGGCGCCCGCCCCTCCTGCAGCGGACGGGCGAGGGGCGGCCGATCCACGACAGGGGGCACACCTGGGGAGCCGAGCGCCGTGGAAAGCTGGCCTGGGGGCAGCGGGTCCCGAGGGAGACGGGTCCTGAACCCCCAGGGGGCCCTTCCCCCCAGAACCGAAGCTTTCTCCCGAGTCCTTCTCTGACAGCCGCGGGGGGGGGGGCCCCGGAGGCCAGAGACGGCGAAGACCCTCGGGCCCCGTTGCCCTCGGGCCCCGCCTCCCCCCACGGCGACGAAAAGCACGGCCACGGGCGACCCCGTCCCCTTTCGTCGGTGCGGCATCGCCTGGCGGGCCGGGTCGATCCGCGCGAGTGCCCCGAGGGGGCCGAGAGGCGGGGCGGCGGCGCCCGCCGTGCCCCCCCTTCGGTCTGCACGGCGTGTGGAGGTCGGCATCCGCTCCAGAGCAGTCCCCGGGCCTCTGCTCCGAGCGGCGCCTCCAGGGGGCATCCTTGGGGGCGTCCAGGAGGGCGGCACCCAAGAGGGGGCTCGCAAATACCATGGCCTGAGGCACGTGCGCGGCCCCAGGGGGGCCCAGGGACGCATTCGGGACAAGAACCTGGGCCAGGAAGTCTGGGGAGGGGCCTCGTGGCGCTGGCCCTGATATCCCCCCTCCCCCTCGTCATCACCCCCCTCTTTAGACAAGCGCGCTCCACTACTCGCTAAGTAGCTACTCGCACATGGCCTGGATCCGCCGCGGGGGACTTACGATCCATTACATATAGGAAGACATGTTTTCTTCTGACGTTTGCGAGTAGGCACTTTGCGAGTAGCGGAACGCGCTCGGTGACTCTTGGGCGCCCCCGATGCTCTGAGCAGCGCCTCCGGAAGCACCCGAAGGCCTTCGGATCGAGGCCGAAGAACGCCCGCCGTGGTCTGCCGCGCGCGTCTTGGCGCGCGCCTTTCGTGCACGGCGCCCCCGAGGTCTAGGTCTCCGCGGGAGTCCGCGATGGTCTCTGAAAGTCTCGCAGGTTCGTGGATGCCTCCGGAGGCATCCAGGAGAGGGCAGAAGGTAAAGGAGGAGGAGGAGGAGGAGGAGGAGGAGGAGGAGGAGGAGGAGGAGGAGGAGGAGGAGGAGGAGGGGGGGAGGAGGAGGGGTCGAGGAGGAAGGGGGGGACGGGGAGGAGGAGGAGGAGGAGGAGGAGGAGGAGGGAGGAGGAGGAGGAGGGTGAGGGGAGGAGGAGGGGGTCGAGGAGGAAGGGGGGGACGGGGGGGAGGGAGGAGGAGGAGGAGGAGGAGGAGGGAGGAGGAGGAGGAGGAGGAGGAGGAGGAGGAGGAGGAGGAGGAGGAGGGCGGGGGCAGGAGAAGGAGGAGGAGGAGGAAGAGGCGGAGGAGGAGAAGGAGGAGGAGGAGGGGGGGGCAGAAGGTCCCAAAGCCTCAAAGAAGAATAGCTTTGTCCTCGATGCCCGATCGTCCAGCTTCGGCCTTCGAGGCCTGCACTGCCAGAGGAACCGGGAGGAGGAGACAGGAGCCGGGAGAGGCGAGAGGGAGGAGCCGAGGGAACCACTGGTTTCGGTCTGGCCAGCGCAGAGGAAGCCAATTGGAGCCAGGAGGAGCCAGGAGAGGGGAGAGTAGGTGGAGGAGAAGTGGGGAGGAGGGAGAAGTGACGGGAGAAGTGACGGGGAGGAGGAAGTGACGGGGAGAAGGAGGAGCAAGGAGCCAACCCTGGCCACAGTCGCCTGTCAGAACGGCTTACAGCGTACGTAAAGGCACAAGAAGCACCCACAGGGAGCGGAGAGGGAAGCGGAGGAGGAGGAGGAGGAGGAGGAGGAGAAGGAGAAAGAGTCAGGAGGAGTCAGGAGGAGAAGGAAGAAAGGAAGCCAGGATAGGGAAAAAAAGGATACGGAGGGAGGGAGTGCAGGGCGGGTGGGTGCTGCATACTCCTCGACACGTTCGTGGTGGGCCACGGACACGTCGCGTTGGGACGCAACCGATCTGGGGTCGAACGTGCGCGCAGCAGCGGCAGGAGTAGCCAGGATCTGGGGAGAGACGCGCCTCGTCGGCGAGCCTCTGGTACCAGGGGGTGGTCCGCTCCCGGACGGACTGCAGGGAATCCTCCCGGGGCCCGCGGCGAGGCTGGGATGGCGCGGCGTCGCAGGGACCACGCCCCGGGACACTGCCTGGCGTCTGCCAGTGGGGGGGAGGGGGGAAGAGGGAACAGACTCCATAGGAGTGGGGGGGGTCGGGAAAATCGAAGTCAGAGAAGAGGAGGACGAGTTCAGAGAGGAGGAGGAGGAGGAGGAGGAGGAGGAAAACGACAACGACGACGGCGTCTCGCCGCGCCACTTACCCGGCCTGCTGCCGTCCAGCGTCACGCTCATTCCTCGTATTCGGGTTCTCCCTTGTGATCAAGCCGTGCGCCCATCAGTTCGGCTCCACCTCCTAACTTCTGTGCACTTGCGAGCGAGCCTCTCTTCTGTTCTGCGCGACTTCGTAGCCAAATACTTGCTTTGCGGTTGCTGCTGCAACGCGTTGTTTCCCGTGCTTGACGTGTTCGATGTTGCGGTTTGCTCGCCTAAACCGGCTGACTGAAAGGAGGAGGAGGAGGCGGAGGAGGAGGAGGGGAGGAGGAAGCCCCGCCAGCCCTCTGGGCTAGGGCGGATTAAGTCGACAATTGGTCGAACCACCTGCTTCCCTTTGGCCAGGGGTTTACCCCTCCGCGTACCTGACGTCGCGACACTTCCCACCGTGCCCGTGGACTGGATGTGGCTCGCAACCTGGCGAAGTGCCCAGCCATGGCCAACCGCGGAGAGAAGGACGACGCACAGATGAAAATCCTTGTTGGACGAAGCCTTGGCTTTGAGCAATGGGGGAACTCGTGGGACTCTTCAGAAAATTGTTTGGGATAGTCTCACGGTCCTGTTTGGGCTTTGTTTGGGCTCCAGTGAGGGGAAGACTTCTTCGAGTCTGAAGAACCCCTCTGGCTCCGTCTTGCGATCAGCGCAGGTGCTCCCTTTTTGCTGTTTCGCCATTCCGAGCTCTCCTGAAGCCATTGAGCGGCCCCCTTTGGGCGCGTCGGGTCAGGGTCCAAAAACACAAGGGATTTGCCACATTTCTGAAATTCGGCGGCACCCCTCACGCAGATCCGTAGGTTCAGGGTCGAAAAAAAAACAAACAGGTCCCGACACTACTTCGCGGCGAAGCCAAAGCCTCATGACTTCGCTCTTCCATGGCCCATTATCCGAAAGAGGGGGCCAGCGGCAGGGGGCGAAGCCCTTACGGATATATTGATATATATATATATATATATATATATATATATATATATATATACATATATACATATACATATACATATACATATACATATACATATGCATATACATATACATATACATATACATATACATATACATATACACATACACATACACATACACATACATATACATATACATATACATATACATATACATATACATATACATATACATATACATATACATATACTTGGATCCTCTCCTTCACAAACTGTACCGGTTTCTGATTGTCTCTCTCTCTCTCTCGATCTCCTTCTCTCTCTCTCTCTTTCTCTCTCTCTCTCTCTCTGTCTCTCTCTCTCTCTCTCTCTTTTTCCAATACGGCGTTCGCGGCTGGAACCACGATGGCAAGGAAGTGGGCTGACCTGGGCGACGACAGGGAATGCCTCATGAAGAGCCCTACGCGCAGAGGGTTGGAAATGCATTGCGTCATGGCATTTTGGTTTGCGGATTCAGGATGAGCGCGCAACGCAAAAGACAGGAGGTCAACGTGGGAACGCCCCACGTGACATCATTTCCATATGCTCCTTGCTTGCTGAAACAACACAACTGTTCTCCTCTCGGAACTTCAACAGCACAACGAAGCACGGCGGCAGCCCTGGAATCCTTGATCCAGAAAATCATGCTGTAGCGGACGCCCTTCCACACGTGCACACCGTGCTGGAGATCGAAAGAGTGCACGAACAGATCCCCTAGAGCCGCTCTGTTTCATTATGTCGTCGCCTGCGACAGGACACTGCCCGTTGCTCAATGGCGGGCCCGCTCGCTACAACACAATAGCAGTCCAGAGCGAACGAATGTGATATAGATACATATACATATATGTAAATCTACGGACATACATAAGATACCAGAAAAAAACACCCAATCCGATGTATTGTTGGGCTATAGGGCTATAAGGCTATAGGGCTATAAGGTTATAGGGCTATTGGGCCATAGGGTTACAGGGCTATAGGGCTATAGGGCTATAGGGCTATAAGGTATAGGGATATAGAGCTTTAAAGCTATAGAACTATAGGCTATAGGGCCATAGGGCTATGAGGCTATAGGGATATGGAGCTGTAGGGCTATGGGGCCCTAGGTCTATAGCGCTATCGTGGGTTTTTCCAGTAGGTCCCAAGCAGGTGCCGAGAAGGAGGGCGTTCAACCTTTCACGCCCGCGCCGGTGTCGCCACCGCGTCGAAAAAAGGCGAACCTGTAGAGGCAGGCGGCGCAGACGGGGGAGAATAGGCAACCACACGTCAATCCTAACCCTGCGGGTTCAACTGCCTGCGGGCGGACCCCAGGACACCAGCGGGGGTCTCGTCATCGGCAGGCGGACACGAGCGGAGTGAACCTCCACGGGTCCACGGATGAACACCTGCGAGTCCGAACCGCAGGGCGGCGAGGCATGAGACCTCGTCACTGGGGGCGGGGAGATCGACGATCCTCAGAACGTGTCAGCGCGGACGGGTGCTTGCCCACCAAAGCCCTTCGATATATATATATATATATACAAGACTGCAGTGGCGCTTCGCGCCATGCACCTTGGTCCTTGAACTTAGGTATGCAGGCGGAATGGCAGGAAAGTCAAGCCGACAATTTAGCGATAACTCCTGTTTGCCTTTTCCGACATCGCCGCTATAATGATGTTATTCGTCATCCTTCCTCCATGCTTATTGTTCCTTGTTTTCGCCATACCCTGCGCAGTCTCCCCATCCTCCTCAGCTCTTTTTTGCGGAGGCTTCTCCTTGGAGAGCCTCTAGGGGCCTCACAAAAATTGTTTCGGGCTTTCTTAAGGCCTTCTGGAGGCCTCCCGGGCGAATTCTGGGGGCCTCCGGGGGCTTCCTCGGGCCACCCTGCCTCCAACCGCCGTCTCCCTGAACGACCGAATCACGATTTGGAATTCTTCGGAGGGTGTCTTTGGGCCATCTTGAGCCGCCATGGGGCTCTCTGAGCGCCATCTTGGACCCGTGTTGTGCCGTTTTGGGGTTCTCTTGGACTGCCTGGAAGCCCTTTCGGATGGTTGTGGGGCGATTTGGGAGCCTCCCAGGCGGCTTCGGACGCCCAGAAGACCGCCGTCTTGGAGCGTCGGGAAGCCGAAAAGAGGAGAACCCCCAAATTCACCAAAAACCCACAGAAAATCAATGATTTTTGCCTCGGGGGGCCTTCTTGGGAGTGCTCTTGGAGGCCTCTTTGGGGCCGTCCTGGAGGCCTCTTGGGCCATCTTGAGGTCACGTCGGTAACTCTTGGAGCGCTCTTGTGCTGTCTTGGGGGTCTTTGGGACGTCTCCGATGACCCCCTGATCGCCCTAAGTGTGCTGGGAAGGCTTGGCAAAACGCCTTGCGAGGCCCGGTGGCCGCTTCGAGGCCCGTTCGGAAGGCCCCAAAGCCCCAGGTCCCGGGAGTCCGGTTTTGGGGGGGGGACGGGTTTTCCCCCCGCCCGGGCTTATAAAAATATAGGAAGAGGAGTATATATATATATATATATATATATATATATATATATATATATATATATATATATATATATATTCGCGGGTGGTGCGACGAAGCCAGCACACGCCGCGCGCTACGGGCGGAGCCGAAGCGGACAAACACAAACTTGAGTTAGGTCGGGCATGTCCTCGTACAGGCGGATTTGGGGCGAAAAATTAGGAATACTCCAAAAACTTGAAAATTTTAAAAAATAGTCAACAATGGTCAGAAACAGTCAAAAATAGTCTGAAATATTCAAAAAAAAAAAAAAAAAGCAAAAAATAGTCAAAAAGGCCAAAACCTCGCCCCTCGACTACTTTCATACTACTTCTGAAGTTATTCCTCCTGTAGAGGGACACTCCCGACTTGACACTTGAGCTGGCACACGCCCTGCGGATCCCCGAGGCCAGCAGGCCGGGGGACCGCCGGGGGAGGGACCGCAGGATGGGGGCGGGCTGCGCCCCGGGGCGGGCGCGCCTGGCTCGATGCGGAAGAAGGTGCGCGACGCGACGTCGGCCTCCGGCTGCAGGTAGATGCCGCCTCGGGGAGGTCGGCGCCGGCCGGAGTCTGGAAGAATTCACGCTCCCAAGGGGGGGAAGTCCTTTTCCTCCTCCTTCTCCTCCTCCGCCTCCTCCTCCTCCTTGTCTCCGCCACCTCCTCCTCCTCCTCCCTCCTCCTCCTTCT